GCAACCAAAACCCGCGCACGAAAGTGCATGGTTAATGGTTGTAAAACTGACCATGGCCCGGGGCTTAAGTGACCGGTTTCCATCACTGAACAGTAGGTCCACGTGACTGTGGGGTTTACCCCATCTGCTGCCCATCACACGAAATAATAAAAAAACCTGGCGTGAATGTAAAAGCGTGTTCTAGCGCCGTGAACTTGATCGTTGAAGAGTTTCGTCTCTGGTCCATGTACGTTATAATTCATTAGAACCAGAAATGGATCCCCCAGCCTGCACCGATATAAGCTTCGAATGTTGCTATTCGCAATCTCCGTGAATTCGGTTCATTCTACCGAGGGAAATAGCCAAATAAAAGCGAGTAAAAAAACCACTGACTGCTGTTTCCGGGTGATGCGTTTTGTTTTATAGCTCCTTTATTTTTAATAGTGAACAAAGATGATCCGGAAATTGTTTCACCATTGTTGCATATTTTTTGCAATATCTGATGTCCATGTGGGTTAATCTGACAGTAAACTAATTTTCCACGGTTTTTGTGTTGCAACCCTACTCGATTGAAAATTGAAGTAGTCTAATGGTGTTTAAATGCAATGGAAATGTTTGTGATAACCAACAAAGAGCACTGGACAGCTGTTTCGTCCTGTTTGGGACTTGTCAGCAGTGCGTACTTGTTGTGTCCCACACCATCAAGACCATCAAGAGTGCCTGGTGCCTCTAAACAATCGAATGGGCTAATCCAAGCTTGATACTCTAAATAGTCTAATGGTGCTTCCAGTTTATGGGTTTTATGACACGCTAACCAATAACGGTCAAATCGATTATCCACCTAAACAGTACTAATCCAAACAAAATCTCGTAACCTATGCTTCTGAAGCCACTCGATCCGCCAGCGCTTTCAATTTATCTTTTCTTGCTGCTTCAGGTCCGTTGTTTTATGAACAACTTCGTCCGTATCTGTTGGATGAAGCGGCCTTGGTGAGTAACGGATTCCCCCGTGAGGACAAAACACCCAATGCTCCACGTGGTCGTGCTATCCTGACTGTGCCCGAGGACAAACGTGCCGTGTACTCATCTTGTCAAGGTACTATAATATAACTATTTTTTTCGTATGTTTTTTCTCCGTTCATCGATGATGGTACGTTCGTACGTCTAACTCTCACCCATGCACGGAGATGATATAATTCATTTTTTTTCAAGGACGGGGTCTACTGGGCTTACGTATGTGAATGGGTGTATCGGTCAATCTCAATAGTTTTGTTAGTTTGTCTCTCGAAGCGATCTAGGTTACCGATTTCTCTTCTTATCTCAAATTCAATATGCTCTATCGATCAACAGTATACACCACCACCACCCTGCTTCACCGCCGCTATCTTTAAATTCCATAATTTCTATTCGTAACGCTGTTTTTTTTCATATGAACCGAAACCTTCAATAGGTGCATCACTTTGTCCTTACCTATTTTCAGTTTCACCTGCAAAAGTGGTTAAGCGAAGACCTGGCACGAGGGTGTGAAAACCCTAATCAGGAGACTCGGTCACATTGATCCCGTTAGACTCCCTGGATGGGTGGGGACCTCGGGATGATCGTAACCGATGGCTAGAGACACCGTGATATTTCTGAGTGTCGTAAACATTGGCGTTTGTGTATCTTCTCCGTTTCTTTACAGCCATAGTTTACTGAAGTTCTCAGTTTTCTCTTCGACTCCGCTTTCAATTTTACTGTCTTTCTCCTACATCATCCAACTGGCCAGCCAAAAGACAGCTTTTGGCCTTCACATTAGTCACTGATTCGTACAACTACTGCAATTTTCCCCGAAAAATTTATTTTTCCGCTGAACTGTTTGCACGTGAATTCGGAATGCATTTCAGTATCGTCGTCACTGGTGCACATTACCATGGAGAGAAATTTTTCTTGACCGCTGCGATAAGTGCCCATTGANATAATCTAGTGTTCATGATCTGTCGCTGGTTTCTATCCAGATGGAGTTGAGTTTGATCAGCTCTAACCTTCTTTCACCCACTACCTACTATGATGAACACTGCACCGCAAGGTAATGTATTTAGTGGCATACATAACAAACACATTCTCCAGTCAACGTAATCTATGGAAATCAATTACTTGCCCAAGTGTCTGGTTGCTCCCACTGACTTGTGCACTGCGACACAGATAACGATTTTCGGATACCGATAGACTGTCTTTATCCTTTTATCTTTACGGGAAGTAACATGCCCACACAACCTATGAACATATTCTACAGATTTTTCTCCATATGTTGTGGCCCATCTGTTGACTCTCGGTGGTTTGTTGATATATATATATATATATATATATATATATACAAAAATGATTTAATTTCAAGAGAGATTTTATCGTGTATAGAGCAAATTAATCGTGAACTGAAAAGCTGGGAAGCACTGGACAGCTGTTTCGACCTGGTTGGATCTCACCATCACGACGAGACTGCACCTTGACGTGATGTGATGGCTTGTACATCTCTGTGACCCAACGAGCTACACAGGATAGCTTTTTTCAAGCCAGGAGATCTTATCATGCCTGGAAGGTCAGTGGGTAGAGGTCAGACGAAGTTCGATCTCCTGGTCTTCCATGTTGAGGGTTTGACTGGAATTTGCGTTTCAGTCGGTAAAAAGCGGTGGAGGAGTAATCGATCCAAGTAAATAGGCTTCGGTTCACCCGCTGCCTTGCGGTTAGGTTCCTGTTAGAACTAAAAGCTTTGGACGAGAACCCTAATCGGTCTCCTGCTTAGTGGCTGGACACCCCAGCAGTACCCGTCCATCAAACCCCAATGGATATACAAATTACAAATAATTC